CATGAAAACTCTTCTGATATCAGCTTCATTGGAATACAAAAAAGTCTGATAACCAATCTCGCCTTGATAGCCAAGTTCCTAGGGTTAAAAAGACATAACAGATTAATAATCACACCACGTTTCATAAGTAGTGCAGGTCATTGATTTCTAACAGTTGATATCATCAAAAACATTCAGCATAGTCATATGGAAGGTCTATAACAAATTGACAATTTTTCAGAKAATATACAAGATTTTAAAGTTTCAGGAACAGGTGTGCCCCCRCACCAACTGCATTGCCTGCCCCTTTCAAACATTATTACCTGCATTGCAGTAGCAAGAGTCGTTCCAATCCTAAATTTTGCAGACATGCTGGCAGGCAGAGTGGAAGGAATCTGAATTTCTTCATTGATGACACTAAAGCACTTTGAAGCACCCTGGATGATGAGGGGAGTGGTGAAGTCTTTGATTGACATCACGTCTTCAGGTATATCACTAGTATATYAAATAATGTGTTTAGTGARGCTAAATGCAATTTAGGCAAAGTTAAACTCGAGGCTTGCAGCTCAGCATACTTTGCTGCCGCAGGGGCACCCCTTTAGCATGCAGGGCCATGTGGTATCTTTATGTGTTTGTCGCATGCACTTTGTCACTTCACTTCATTTATTCAATATTTACATAATTCATCTAGAAAGGCAATCTTACATTATAAACTTGACATTATAGTTTACAATGGGTCCAATTTTACAGTTTCCAACATCAAACAGTTGACATTAATCAAGATTTTAACACCGTAAAAAGTGGGTGAAAAAAATTTCTGACGATTTGAACATTACTCCTTCAACAGAGTAAAGTAATGAAAAAAATATTAATCTAAAATTTAGCTTATTTTGTAACAGTTTCTTTAAAAATACTGATGCTACATTATGGCTAGCTTCCCTCAGTTTCTCCCAACCATATTTAACTGACTTTGTTTTGGATTTACAAAGTCACCTCACCAAATAGACAGCCCTTATTGCACATGACTATAGTTCATGAATTAGTAATGACTTTTTATGATAAATATTAACATTAAAACTCCTGAATATATTTCATGACCTATTAATCCAATGGGAAAGGATCGTTGGATCACATGATTAAATAATAACCAGAAACATTTTAAAGTGTTGATATCTCAAATTCAAAACATTTAATTTCATTAAAACTTTATAATTATTAATATCTCATAATAGAATTTTATGAGGCTTTGATTATGACAAAGAATGGAGCAGTCTCCAACCACATTCCAATTCATTGTTCATAAAACTTTATCCAAGATTAATTACCACACACTATCCTTACGGAAACTCAACATTATTTTGCTCAACATTACTCAACATTATGAATTTAACAATAATATGATAATTAGTGTTGATCATTATGAAAGTCGTCAAATTTACC